CATGTTACAAGAAAACAATAAATTGAATTGATAATTACAATTATATATATATACAAAGTATAAGTAAGATAAGCAAAAAAGAGAATATTGAATGTGTGTGTGGTGACCAAAGTAGTTTAAAGTTTAGAATTGGTCACCACCTGAGTTAAGTTTTATGAGTATAGTATGGCTAAATATGGATTAATTAATGTGCAAAAATTAATACAAGCTTAAAGAAAATGAATAAATGGACGTGAAGCGAGGAGATAAAGAGAAAAAAATGTCAGTAAAAATGTCGTGCGCTTTGAGGCGTACGCAGTGAATCTCAGGCTGCCTAAGCAATTAATACATGTGGTATGTAGAAAGCATTTACAGTAAAGGTATGGGGCAATAAGTATTTTTAAAATAAATTTGAACATACAACATACTGTGTTGTTGTAAATGATAGTTATCGTCTTTCTGAGTGGTTTTTAGCCGTTTTAAAGCAGTTTTTGAAAGATTGTAGCCCACCAGTAAACATAAAATGAACTTGTTATACATTTACAATGTATACTAAAATTTACACGGATCTTTACTGGAAATGTGAATATTTTGCACAAACTGAAGGCTAACTGAGCTACTGGGAATTTGGAAACTGGACCGTATATTTGGTCAGTACACATTGATAGTATACTACTAGTGTTTAGCTACAAAGAAAAGTTCGAACACGAAGATGAATACATTCGAGCAATATGCAGTTGCCGACAACTGCCTACGCATTACTTATATTTTTTTAATTAGTAACTATTTACATTTTTACACTTCATACGTACAACCCTCCTCGTTATACGCGCAAAGTTTAAAAACTGGTCGCCAATACCAAGACAACCTTTCAAAAAAACTTTAGTTTTACTTATTTATAAGAAAGATAGGACACGAAACAGTTTGGTGTCGAATGGTCTAGTCGACCTCGTGAATGAGAACACAGATGTTGCGGGTTACAAAATTAAAAACGGTTAATCGCTAATCAAAGTTTTTTTGTTGTTTTTTTTGTGATTACTTGCACTACTTCGATTAAGTGGCGGCCATCTTGAATCGAAAGGCATTATTGGTCGTCCAGGGGGCAAACATACAAAGCTTTGTTATAAATAATGGTGTAGACTTAACATTTAATGTTCATAACAAGACAATTTGACAAGGGATGAACAAAAATAATCAAACAGTTTCACATCTTAGGAAATTGCTCAAATGTCGTGAGGTCTTCATTTTCGCATCTTTGCTTTGTTTAGTCCCCTTTGGGAGACCCAAAATACCTTGTGATTCAAGATACCGATTCATCGTCGAAGTAGTCCATTGCTTTTCAATGAAATATCCTTTATATGCTTTTTGCTTTACCAACCAAAGATTTTCCAATTATTATTTCAATATTTTTTGTTAATATTTTTTCATTTAAAAAAGGTGCAAAGCGCACTACTTCTTGTACATCCCAATCTTAGGTAACGTATATCTGTTCCAGAAGCTCAATTATCTAGCTACAAATCTCAGAATTCAAACTTCTGATCATGAAAATTGGGTTGATTATAAGTTGTTTCAATTATTTACTGTACTAAAAAATAGAATTGCCTAAAATTCCTCGTAGTATTCTTCTCTTCTCCAAATAAAATGTGCCACCTAGTATACTGGCATGAATACTCAAGGCAATAATTAACAGATCAAAAAAAATATATATATATATAATAACTAACACGCCAAAAAAACGAAAAAAAAAAAATCGTATTATTCTGAAGTGTTCGTAAAGGATGACTCGAGAGTGTTTTGATACCCTCATGTCAAACATGGTTTTCGACTAATCGTAGCGCGCGTATTATCTCAGTTATTTTATAATATGAAATTTAAACGAAGTGGATACGAATATTTCACTAAAAACGCATCCCACCGCCTACAAGAATATTTCCTTTGCACCATCACGTGACTAGGCAGCCATGACGGGCGGCACAACAATAGCCGGAGTCTTTCTCCTCTGGGAAACTGAATTCTTTCTCATGTAATAAATAAGATTAGACCAGATTCAATTGTTCCTGCCTCCTGTCATAGCTGCCATCACGTGATGATGCAAAGCCTCTATACATTTGAATTAAGATCGTAGACCTCACACTACAAGTCGTTCGACTCCACTGCTATGCATCAAATGGCCTAGCAGAAGCTGCGTTTTTATAGAGATATTAAGGGTGACGTCAATCCTATGGAAAAACAACTTGTGTTTCCAAAAAAGAAAAACAATTTTGTTTTAAAAAAATATAATTTCAGTCACGATAGGATTTTTTGCCTAAAGTTCGAATTGATTTTGGTGGGGTATTTTGTTTCATTTTATAAGGAATACGTCACGACTTAAAAGCTCTACACACTTTCCGTACTGCCTGAACTTATGTCATTAATATGACTGATAACCTGGCATCCTTCTGAAGTTACGTGTAACAACTCCTCTGCATTCACTTTTGAGCCATGTTGTCTGTCTTCCTCTACGCTTATTTGCTTCACAAGCCGGTTTCTCCATGTCTTTTGTTCTTGAGAACTCGTTAGATTCACGAATGTTCTTATCCTCAATGCTTTTGGTAGGAGGTCAATGGAAACACCATCCAAATTTACGACAATAAGTGAATAGTCCCCACATCGATTCACACGTTCCAGTGCCATGTCCAACTCTGTTTTGCAGTAATTACTTTTCAAAAAGTTTTTCGAAACAACTGCAAGGTTCTTTCTGCACTTGTAAACGGAATCAGCCATGTTCTCGTGAATGACTTTACCAGCCTCATAATCTCTAAAGTGTATGAAACACTTGAAATTGTTTTCTGACTCAAGTAATGGGATGAGCTCTTCAGTTACCCATTGTTCATCGAAACTGCTGTACAAGATTGATGCGTCGTACTCAAAGTTTCCTTGATCTGAAAAAAAATTATATTGACAAATTCTAGGAGTTCAACAATGGATTATCTGATGCGAATGCTTGCTATGAGTGCACTGTTAATGTGGTTTTCGATACTGGAGAACTTACATAGCACACAGCTGATGTAATTTATATTCAGAAAATGTATTGTATTCTGTCCCTTTTCAATAAGCGAACTCGTACAAGTCAAAAAAATCGTTAGATACTGAAAGATCATTTTTGATTGACGGCGGCAAAAAGGCGATAACTCAGTCCAGTATCCTCTTGATACTAAAAGTACACTCGAACGCGCGCAGAGACACACATTATTCATCATTTTCCATACATCGGTTCAATGGTCAAACTCAAAGCGCTCAAGCGAGTCGCCAAGGTACGTTCAAAGGATTATTCAAATTTGAACCTTGCAACCTCGACTGAATGCTTCGTGTTTGCGACCAGTGAATCGATATATGGAAAATGGTGAATTAATCGGTGATGTAGGGATGGGGGAGGGGAGACGAACGTCGAGCTGGGTATGGCGGGGAGCTTTACAGTGCAAATCGAAAAACCGTGGACACCTAGAAATGTTTCAAGAATGTTTCTTAACCAATCAGAAGCGTTACTGTTATCTTTTCGTTATCTTGTGGTTAGAAAGTCAATTCTGATTGGCCAAAGAACAATAGAAACTTGAATATGCCCACGGTTTTTCGATTAGCACTGTAACGATGAAACGCGTACGCGTGTGTGTTGGCTGGAAAATGGTACATCGCTAACCACGCTATTGCGGAGACCTCGACACGCCCCGGTCTTTTCTTTTCAGGAGAAGATAACATCCATATTAATGTGAAAAAATACAAGCTTATTCTCTAGAGAATGTCACGTGTTTTAAAAATGACGAAAACGCCGTGAAAAGAAACCATGTAATACGCCAGTTTCGCTTTCGATGTATACCGCTGTTTTTGAAGAACACAGGCTCACTTGCACAGACTTAGACTCGTTTATRAGTCAGCTATTTACAGATACCACTTAAAGTCCGTAGGATTGCAAAACATTGGCATTGTTCAAGCTGCACATTCTTTACATTACCGGTAGACGTTTGCAAATGATTTGCTCTTAAACGAGGCTAAGCCTTACAAATGAGTCTTTAGTTATAAAACCCAGCGGTATTTACCGAATGTAAAAAGGGACTATTACAAGATTTTTAGAGGCTTTCAGGCAATTGTCTTCAGATTAAGAGTATTTTCAACTAACTACGAAGCTACTTACAGTATTACTTAAGTATCTTGTTTAGTTACTCACTTTCTGATAGCGATTTCATACGGTKTCTGTATGACTTTGCTCTCCATCCATCCGGGTATCGCAGTTTCCAAGCAACTATCACTATAGCAACCAGAATGAGACCAGCGCAGGATCCGGCGATGATTGCGGCCACCACCCCGGGTGAAACTTGAAAAAAGAGCGAGAAGCAATTAATTGTCTTATAAACATCATTCGTATATATATAAAAAAAAACACGTTTGTTTGTTTTTTCAGATGTTAATAGACCATTTTTATTATTATTATTATCATCCTCATCATCATTATCATGCTTATTCTTATTCTTAATATTCTTCTTATTATTATTATTATCATAATTATTATTATTATCATTATCATTTTACAAATATGTTTTTATCGAAATAAGTAATTTATATTCATAATATCTTTATTAACGTTATTATAAATTTTATTATTGTTATTATTATCATTATTATTTTGTTTCTTTTTTTCTTTACTTATCTCTTATAGTTTATTCTTAGCTTTTGATCTTAATTCTTAGCTTTTTGTTAATTAGATATTTATTGCACGCTATTATCATTATTATTATTATCAATAATATTATCATTATTTGTATTAGCAGGTGATAAAGCATGCAGACAGTCTATGTTTGACTGTGGAACGCTCACGACGCGAAAGTAGCAAGGCATACGATAGACCAATCACACTGCGCAAGAATATACCTCTTCGGCTTGGGGTAATGTTTTCCCATTTCAGACAACGTGTCATTCCCTTGAGAATAAGATTCTTTGTTTGAGTTGTATCCATATTCATGTGTCTTCTTATGTGCAACCGAGCGCAAACCTTAAACAAAGATATGATACTCTAGGGAATGACATGTGGTCTGAAATGGGAAAACATTACGTCAGAGCCGAAGAGATTTATTCACTGCATTCAATCAAATATACGGAATACGTTGCTGACACGGTCACGCCAAGGTGACGGCTCTACCAGACCAATCACATTATAAGAGATAAAATCCTCCACAACATTACGGACGAGGCAAGGATGGCACCAAGTTTTTCATAGTCATAACACTGAAATCTGCTCTGATGATTTATTAGTGGATACGCTTTTATGTTTGCACATGAACATGAGACTAGTCAGTCGCTATTTCAACACACATGCATTACAATAGTTATGTTTAGATTCGGTGTATGATAATGGTGGCGATGATGATGAAACTGATAATATAGAGAGCAATATTAATCATAATAATAATGTTAATTATAATAATAGTGGTAATAATAGTGGTAAATAATGATGATAAAATGGATAATAATAGAAGTAAATGATGAAAATGATGGTTACGGTTGCGATCGACTACGGCAACGACCTTAGCTCAGGTCCAGCTTCGAACTTTACATCAGCCGAACCTAATTACATCAAAAAAGACCACCTAGTTATCCACTGTTTCAATTAGGTTCGGCTCATGTGAAGTACGACGTTTGACCTGAGCCTAAGGTGTTGAAAATAATAATAAATGAATAATTTAGCTTTTTCTTAAAACACTCATTAATAATTCATAAGCTTATGGTCCAATTGCAGCCACCATACACGTCACGTGCATGAACCTTTATACCCGATAAAGTCCTCTTCATTAGTATTCAAGTGATTTTATATAAAGACACATGTGATCTTTATATAAAGAYCACTCGAATACTATGAGGATGACATTATCAGGGATGAAGTATGCATCCAAGTTTAGATGAAGACATAGAGCTTTGTCAAGGTCATGGTCAACCCTAATGATCTTTGACTAACGTGCCTGTCTTTGCCTTGGCACGCAATATCCAACGTGTGGGAGCTTCTATTGAATCTGGTTGCGCATGCCCGTGACGTCAAATCTCTATCGAAGTATTAAAATCCATGTTCGTGACGTGTATGGTGGCTCCAGTTAACTCAAAATCTTATAAATTGTTCATGAGTGTTTTAAGCAGTTCAAAAAACTCGTAGATCGTGGCGTAGCCGAGTGCTTTYATACCTGATAAAACACTCCTACTCGTTTTTTAAACACTACATCAAGGTCGAAGTAGACTAAAGCAACAGAGAATACACCCCTTGAACTGAGTCCCGAGAGGAATTGTTCTGGGGGACAAAAACAATGGATTTTTTGCATACGAAAAGACGGCCTATTGTTTTGTCCCCCAGAACAATTCCTCTCGTGCACTCAGTGCAAGGGGTCTATTGATACAAGACTCTAAAACAAATACAAAATCATTTACCTTTCTTAGGCAATGTCACAGGTTTATTACTAATGCCTAAAAATGCAGATGAATCATTAGCATACATATGTATACGAATACTGATGGGATATATAATTCATAGGACTCCACATCTTTCAGGGTGTCTTGTTAGATATAGCTTTACGCTTTTAAATGAGAAGCACATCTAAAAAAGCAACTTAACTTGCTGGTAGTTGAAACAATATGCGAAAAACCAAAACTTCAAATTATTTTGAAAATGATACCTCGCCACTATATGCTTTATAAAGTTTTTACGATTGCCCAACCCTCGGCATCCAATTATTCGAGATGCCTGACGTATCAGTAAGGAGGTCCACGGGAACCTATTCAGCTGATTAACATTCCACATGTGATAGGAAATGTTGCGTGCTATCATTGCGTGCTCACCGTTCGTCTCGCTTCGATGCAAAAGCACGGCTACCTTTCAAGGTGGCGCAGGGAACTGTGAAGGGGACTATATTCAGCAATCGTACAAACTATAGCGGCAACGAATGTAGAGACTGCTGTCCCTATGCGCATGCACCTACCTTGTAATGGCGGAGGCCAACCTGTTATTTCAAAGCGATACCCAGTATTTTTCTTTAATGGGTACGTCGACACCTGATATGAAAGAAATTTCAACGAATTAGTAAATAAATAATTCTCAGCTCTAATACTGTAGACTATTTTTTTTTACTGTTTCTTTGAATCTGCGGTGCTCTCTTATTGATGGTTGCAAGCATTCCCGAAATAATCAAAATGCAAAAACATGGCGGCCATTTAGGTGTCGTTAACAAATAATGCCAATTAGAAATATTATGTTAAATGTCACCAACGCTCCCCGAGAGGCAGCTATGATAAAACGTGCAATCGAAGATTTGTTTGTTTTAATTTGTTAGCACGCTAAGAAACGTTATAAAATAACTGTTATGAATCTCGCATTCTAATTAGGTGGGAGCGCGTGATTTATGTGAGCACACAGCACGCACGCGCCCTTTGCATTTTATAAAAAGAAATAAAAAACTTGCTAGCTGTGCTGTGTTCCGCTATGCGTCGTGCGTCTCCCATAAAACTTCTCTCGTGTTCTGCCAGTCCCCAAGTGCTTTATAATTAACTGCTCACAGTACGCGCGCGCATTTTCTAGTTCTTCAATTTATTGGCATCATAGTGCGAAAGAAGAGATAAGGATAATCCTATCCAGAATACCTCCTAAGATGGTATTTGAATCTAGAACATGACTTTTGCAGGGGAAGGAAAACCAGAAAATCCACAACAAACTCAGCTCATATATGACACCGAATTTAAGAATTTAACCCGGGTCGCAGCGGAGAGAGGCGAACGTTCTCATCTGATTCGAAAGTATGTCCGGATTTTCCTCCTCCGCAAAACCTAGTGAAATGAATCCCTATTCCATCTTCCATCTATGAGTAAGCGCTGCCACGACTTGATGAGCCAAGAGGTAACTTCTGACTTTGATGAAAGCTGAAGATGAAGGTTTAGATGAAGCTTACATTTAAGTTAATCACTTGAGGGTATTTCCATCCATCCTCTGTTTCATTGATAACAAAGAACGTCCTATTCTGTGCACAAAGAAAAAAAAGATAATCATGACGAAAAAAATCTGTGCCATTATGTTCCAACATCAAAATATAAGTATTTTTGAATTTCAGTCATATGATTTGTTATTGTCTACCTTGGGTAAAAGACTGCAGTGAACACTTGTTGGCGATGTCGTAAACCATTGAATGACATAGTGAGACCAATTCTTGGATGTTTTAGGATCTGAAAACAATAAGAAAATGCAATATTATAAAGGCATTCGAAGAAATTAAGCGAATGAGAGAATAAGAGAGCAAGCAAGCAGGTAGACAAGAAGAAAGGAAATAGCAAGTTATACAAGCAAGGAAATTAGTTACTGGTTTTGTACATATTAAATTCTAGTTGGATTCAAGTATGACAAATAGAAATAATAATAATAATTTTTAAAAAAGTATAAAAATGAATTTCACTCACATGATCAACAGAATAGCACATGCAAAGATAGAAAACATTATGGTGCCCAAGCTATGATATCGCGAACGAGCGAGTCTGCGAGCGAGCGCCGAGTGATATCACATGGAAAACGAGTGAATAAAAAAAGATTCAGGTTCTTAACATGTGATAATTTGTTTATTACACATTTAGGGGTCGCTAAATTGGCAAAATTTACAATTTTCAGTTCACCGTGAAGTGATATCATATCAATTCACTGATATGGTTTTTATTCACGGCTTTACTATCAGACTGATATTGAATCTAAATGTCTAATAAATGTCTTTTTGTTTATTACTATTTTTGATATTTTTGTTATATACTTTAGTCTTACTTACCATTGAGTGCATCCCACGTTATGTTGATGTACCAGAAGTTTTCTAAATGATGAAAATTCACCTTGACTCCTTGCACTAAACCAGCAAAGTCATTTGATGCCTTTTCATACATTTCCTGACAAACTAAAGAACAAACATACCTAATTAGTGCATCTTCCATACTGGGTCTCTCAGTGAGCATATTCCCCGATCAGGAGCCTATAGGACCATCCAACTCCCATACTGGGTCTGTGAACCAGCATATTTTTAGATCAGGAGCCCATTACTAGAAGCATCCAACTCCCATACTGAGTGTTGAGCCAACGTATTCCCAAATCAGGAGCCTATTATTAGAAACATTCATCTCCCATAATACTGGGTCTGTGAGCCAACAAATCCAGATAAGGATCCCATTTACTGGGAGCATGTTCTATACTGGGTCTATTCACTAGTCCACATATTCCTAGATAAGGGCCTGATAAGGGATGATATAAGTAAACTAAACACCATGTCAACTTAAAGAAGCTTTCTCATTGAGTGGTGATTATTTGATATTTTCAAATCGCAATAACATCGTTGTCTAAAAAGCTCTAAGAATAATATGCAAGCATGCTTACATGATATGTCAATCTCTTTATTTGTACTTGTTCTGTTGATCTGCTGTTTTGGGCATAACTGTTGCAGAGTTACATTAGCATCTGAAAACATTAAATGGAAAAACTTTCATTTATTTTTTCATTCATTCATTCGTTCGCTTCTCTTCGTCCGTACGTCCGTCCGTTCGTTATTTGACCAAAACATATCATATACTGTTCATGTATTTTTCTTATTTTCATTTCATTTACCTGAASTKTGATTTTTGAGACATTCTTGGCAGTTTGTAGTATCGTTKTTTCCTTTCTGTAAAATTAGGACAGAAAAAAATGAAAATAAAGCAATACGTCATTCTTAGTCAAATTCTCTGATCTTTCCCTCATACACCTTATTTAAAAAAACGTTGCAGGTTGGAGATCTGTAATCTGAGAGCCATGCGCCAGCTCTGGTCATCGCTCAACGGTGATGACATATTTAGTAGACTTACTTGTTGTAAACTAATTAAATCAAAAGGCAATACGATTATCACTTTCATTGATATTTCAATTTACAGCTCACAGCCCATAATTAATCGAGGTCTCATATTCTACAATTTTTTATTAGATCTCCGAATAACAACGATTCTTAAATAAGTGTAAATGGTATTGCCGTGATATAATACACTCAGGGCCGTAACAAGGGGGGAGCACTGGGTGCACGTGCCCCCCCCCTCCCCCATAAAAGCTTAAGGTCCGCTCATCCATCTTTTTTTTCTTCTTTTGTTTCTGCTTACTCTTGGTTACCTTTTTTTCGATTTTATTCGATGTGCACCCTCGCTGTAAAAGTTCTGGTTACGGCCCTGACACTTTTGCTCACGCGGCAGCCATGTCATGAGATGAAACAATATAAGCGATAAAAAAATGCAAAAACAAAAAGATGACGAAGAGGAGGAGGAGGAAAGGAGGAGGAGGAGAGGAGGAGGAGGAGGAGGAGGAGGAGAGGAAGAGGAGGACTGAGGAGGATGTTTTAATTCGGTTTACTCAAAAACGATTGTAACAACAAGTCATAATGACTAGCGGTTACTGCAGTTAGACTGCGTGGGTGTGTTGAATACAACAAGTGAACGACAAGGAAACTTAACCACCGTGTGAAAACGTTTATAACAGTAGTGGCGTTTTTTTCGTCGGAGTAAAAGCAAACGGAGTAAATTATTTTTTCTCCAATGAAGGAATAGCGTCCGGTACGACAGTACAGTAACAAACATTTTTACAGGCGGTTTTTATTCAAACATTCCCCTTTTATTTACTTGGAATAACAAGTGGGTGAAGGTGATAAAATAAATTTTCTACTCTACTTCCAACAATGCATTCAATATTGTTTATATTATCGAACAACTGGGTAAATATTGAATTAATAGAGCTGTGTGACGTCAGTCGTATGGAAAAATGACTTCCGGCACCAAGACAAACAGCAGTTCGATAAAGATTTTTCTTCCTCTTTTTTTTCATAACAGACTTTGCCCACTGAAGTTTTGATCATTTCTGGTGCAGGTTAAACGATTGAGAGTATTTTTCTCTTTATTTTAGCGGTTTCTGTGAGCAATTGAAGCCAGAAATACGTCACATCTTTTAAGGTGACTGCCACTTTTGAGCTTTCGATTTGAGCTTACGTTATATATGCACGATCCAAAACCGCTGAATAATCTTCACGATTTTATTGAAAAACTATATACATGTTTTTAACTTGTCATAAGCTTATCTACCGTCATATCAAATTCTTTAGAAAAGTAAATTTTCTTAACACGCGAAAAAATAGATTTTTGTAGGAATTTTTGTGCAACTAGTTTATGAGATATTTTGGAGGCACTGGAAATACGAAATATAACTAATCCATGCATTTCTTTGTCTTTTTGACAAAAGTATCTATGTATTACAGTAGAATGATACACTAGCCGACGTTTGTGCAATTATAGAGTTTGTAAAGAGCTAATATCTTGTGAGTTTTAGATTTTTATTATAACTTCCGGTGACGAAATTTTTGCTTCAAAAACTGCCTCAAAAACTCGCTCGTAGGAATCCATGAAATGCTTAATCGGGACACCCCATTTTTCTTTTCATATTTTGAATCAGCATTAAATTTCATTTTAGAAAATCGCTATCTTAAAAATAGTTTGAACTTTTTTCAAAAAGTAGCAAGTCACTTTTAAAAAGCTGATAGGACTTTAGAATACACCAATCACTGAATATGTAAAAACCATATATACATAAGATCAACATCAGATACCATAGGGAAATTATATAGGAAAACAAAGGCGCGCGCGAAAAAAAATGTTCTAGTGCATTTTTCATTGATTTTTTTACTCTTTCGCATCACAGAGGACATTATCTTGATCTCGAATTTAAAAAATTATTAATTATTTAATTTTTCCGATTTTATTTTCACCATTCACTTTAATCTAAATTGGGCTCCCTGTGGTAAAAACAAGAGTGATTTTCACTCTTAAACCCGTGAAATAGATACCATTAGTTAGTGTGTAAAGGTGAAATGACATCAAAAGAACACAATGGAATTAGGGTCAACTAATTTGTATTAGGCTGTTGTGTGTTTCATGGGTTTACGAAAGAACCACTCTAAAGCTCGGATTCTATTTCTTTCCGCAGTGTTTATTAACTTAAARATTAAAATAAGTTTCGATACTGATATGGCTTTGAGTGGTTAATCTTTAGAGAGAAACATTAACAAGAAAGGGATTGAGTTTCAAAGAACTATAAAGAAAAACAAGTTAAGAAACCGAATAGCTAAAACAGCATACATAAATAAACAATGATAATAATAATAATAATAATAATAATAATAATAATAATAATAATAAATAATAATGGACATCAATAACAAAACAACGAAACCAAATAGCCATTCCGAGGTTGGGGAAAAAATTGGATCGAGTTTGCATTGCAGTGCATTTTTGGTGGTTCTTTTAGGGGAGACTAATGCATGTCTGGGCTCGTCATCACATGTTAAGACAGTCGTACGTTAGTATAGTTAAACCCCGCCGGGAAGTTTTTTCCGGGTTCTCCGGTTTTCATCCCTCTGCAAAATCCCGCAACAATCTATAAATTCAGAGTCATGCTGTGAATTAGCGATGCCTAAATATGGTCAGCCTAGACAGTTGTTTCAGGCTTCAATATATGTTTTAGCCGTCTCCTGACTGTGATGAGCTGCCCATAGGATGAGTTAAAAAATTGATAAAATTGAAGGCAATAGGCTGCTCCGTTTTTAAAGGGAATTTGAAGTTGGAGCTACAAGAGAGAAAGCAAAAAAAAAAAAATAGATAAATAAAGAAGTGATTTCAGTCGGAATTTTTTTTGAGCTCAACGTATCCATCCCAGAATACCTGTCTTTCCTTGGAGGATTATTTTCTTGTTTACACTAATATACTTGCAAATATTCTAGGCGTTTTAGCCTAATGTCGATAAGATGCTCCAAAAACGCCTCCATCAGAAAACTCATTTGTATGTTTGGACCTTTGAGAATAACGGCTAAGCCCTCAACGGCTTAGTTGGGCCGCGAAAGATGCAATGGTGTTTTGAAAAGATTGAAAAATAACATATTATTTTGGTGTCCCACATAAAGATTATTATTTATTTATAAATTTGTTTGATTAAAGCTCTAGATTAAAATAGCATTAAATCTATTATATTCAAAGATCCGTATAGAGAGTCGAAATGACATCTTGTCACCTGTCACACAATCTCCTGACTCCCGTCATCCTGAATGCAGACTGTAAACTCATTTATTGCCGGACTTTCATTTACTTGAAATAATGGAGTTACATGATTACCACAATGTTTGAAGGTCAAGTCAATAAATCATATTGAAGAAAAGAGGAAAACGTTTACCACGAGTTTCTAGTACGAGTTTCTAGTTAGTTTGTTTAATTTCTTGGAAAAACAGATGTAAATCAGCCACTTAAAATAACTTCAACAAATAGCATACTAATCAGTGACATTTGGCTTTGGACTGAATTGTCATTTTTATAACTGTTGATAGTTTAGCTCTTTCATAGAATAGAGCTCTCTACTCGTGTACTTACAATGGAATAATGCTGATATTTGGAATAGATGATAGAACGCTTTCACGTATCGTTCGTCGTGGGGTTATTCCCATGACTACAGCCAACAATGGCGTATGCACTCTTTTAGTCATGACTAAGGAAGGTGCCGCGAGAAAATAGCTCCTTTCCTGGCAAATCGTTGCGAGACTCCCAATTATATGATCTACATTAACTTAACAAACCATACAGCTACCAAACTCTGTAAGATTGAATTCTTATTCAGTGCTTATGATTTCAAAAGGTTCTGGTGTGTTTTGACTTTTTGTGGCATGCAGACATCATATTACAATTCATTTGTCTTACCTCAAAGTTGAGATCAAATACTGTTTTGTTCCAAGGTGCGAAACAACACAGTTCCTGACAAGACCTCATCAAACTTCCTCCACATAAATGGGTTGTGGTAACTACCAAAATCGAAACAAACACGCTAAGGCGTACCATACTGTCGTGTTATATTAGCAATGATCTTGACAGATTAGCTTTGCGTGTCTTTAGCTCACTCGTAAACCTAAAGCTTGTTTTAGCAACTTCTCCGCTTGTTCATCAGTTTTAGCAGTTTTCTTACTTGGAGTTTTCGTCTTGGTGTTTCAAACTTGCCCAAGAAGCATTTCCTCGCGGAAGGATTTTAGCCGTACGTATCCGTTGCATGAAATGTCTTTCGTGATGTAACATTACACCAATAAAATGTAAGAATGGCATGTTTATGACGTAGTCCATAGAAACTTATTTCGATTCTTTGAACCACTGACCTAAGTCTTGAATGGTGGCATTGATTGCCCAGCTTTAATAGTTTATATCAACTGATACAATAATGGAAAAATTTTCAATAGAGCGCTGACGTTATCATATGAGGAAACTGCAAATAAAAACTATAGAACTAATCTTTCCGTACTCTTAAGCTGATCTAAGAGAATATGTTATACCAATGAGAATCGAGAAAATTTTCAAAAAGTAAGGTGTCACTTTTCCTCTTGATTTCCAGGCCACAAAACGAATAAAAAATAATTGCAAATAAGAGGTTGATAATACTTACACGATCACTAATTAATGCTATATTTTCATTCCAGTGTTGGACAGTTTTTTTAATTATTTTTCACTGGTCACTTTTCACAGGCTTAATGACACCTCAGTTTTGCTGTGACTTCATTTCACATCACAATTGCTTTTTATTTGATTTAATCATTGAATTGTTAGCTTATACTTGCTGCGATGAAAATTTGTATGAAGCATTTATATTTGAGAAGAAGGGAGGTGGGGAGGGAGTTCAAACGTATTTTATTATCAGCGGTCTCACCAAGCGTATATTCACCATTTTCCATACATTGTTTCACTGGTTAAACACAAAGCATTCAGTCGAGGTTGCAAGGTTCAAATTTGAATAATCCTTTAAAAGTACCTTGGCGCCTCGCTTGAGCGCTTTGTGTTTGACCAGTGAACCGCTGTATGGAAAATGGTAAATAAGAGATGAGGTCACACCACCCAACACACTTCGAGATTGAAGGCCGCACTGAGCAGGTCGTAGGCAAGCGGTCTCTCTTGTATCCCTACGCAGTCGACGTATCCGGAATATAAGTTGTTGTTTTTTTTCTTATCCGCATTCGCTGTTCATTCCGGTTTCGCGACTGCAGACTCCCATTTTCATCTATATAGCACAGGGGAGATCGCTGAGAATTAGATAATATGCAAAACCTGTTGGACCCTTAGACGACCACTAACTTCTATGTCCTCATGTAGTTTACATGGTAAAAATAAATTTTCACGAAAATACAAAATTTTCAAGCTAAATTATAGGATAAACGAAGTAAGTAATTTCTTGAGATGCATGTTACGTCACACGATACCAAGGCATTCGTGATTAGCTTCTCTTGTTACATCGATCAACCAACACGGTTGCTGTTGCATTGGCATTTATATTTCAATGGATTTTGAGTCACGTGGGAGCACCCCAAGAAAATACGTTCAGGTTCGAAAGGGAGTCTGGTCCCCCCGACTATTTTCTTCAGATCCGCCATAGCAATAGTCTCCCCCACAGCCGCTTTCAGTGTCGTCACGCAACGCTTTCTCCCCTGAGACACTGAAAGCGGCTGTGGGGGAGACTACCATTGCAAGTAAATTGAAAGAAAGATACTAAAATAAACAAGCATAGTATGATATGCAAATAAGCGCTAAGCATGCAATAAACTTTGAGGCGACTGTCTGTATAAATCGAGAATCGGCCGACAGTTGAAAAAAATCGAATTTCTTTTTATTTCCCCAATAGAGCCCCTTTGGTGAACTATTTTCAAAAATAACATTAAAAAGTTCAACAGCTTCGAAAAAAGCACCTTTCATTAATATTTAAAATGAGATTTAGATTTCAAGCGTTGCGGGAATTAATTCTACTTAAAAAACTCATTATATGATGTATATTCTCTACTTTCACATCCTCATAATGTCTTGCGTCTATGTAGAAAATACAGCGATATGCAGAAATTCTGATCCTTTCGTACATACATACAAGCATATCAAAAGTATATCAGAATTTATGGGATATCATCGTTGATATTTTTTTCTGGTTCTCTATCACTTAGGGCTTTCTGGGGAAAAAATCAGAGATGGTATCCCAAAATTTCTAATAAACTTTTGATATACTTGTATATACACTCGATTACAGAAACGTTGTAGTATACATTTACACATTTATACAAATACCTAATGAGATGCATATTGCAATTTTACTTTATTAACTCTCAAAACCAATTAATTTATAATCTGTAGGATGTAAAACACAAAATAAAATATTTTGACGTTCATTGAATGAAACAAATAATAAATAAAGCGAGTTTTCTGTTTTGCATATCATTAAATATACTGAATAAATTAGGTATTTGTATAAATGTATACTACAACCTTTCTGCAACAAGTGTATGTACAAAAGGATCAGAATATATATATAATGACTCTGTAATTATTATAATTGTTACTGAAGCGTAAGACAAAATTTTCAAAAGACAACCCCCCCTCCCCTCTAAACTCCTTTATATATAAGAGTACCCCCTGGAATCTAACTTCCTCTCCTCAAGACTCACGTGACTCAATCATACATACCCTCGCCGGAAACCCATTTATTTAATATTTATATTGCAAGATCTTACTCAATATATGTTTTGGTACTGGATTCGATCCTTTTAGCTATGTTTGGAACATTACTCTTAGTCTTGCAATCGTGAACAATCTGGTATTTCGTATGGGAATATTTTTTTGTTGCTGTGTTCAAGGCGAAGAGACCTCGGATTACGAAAACATCAATAATTACGAAGGAGAGACAAAGCTCGGAAAGAGACACGGTAAAGGAGTCTATTATTTCGAGAATGGAGATATATATGACGGGCAATGGCAATGGGGAAAGAAACATGGCCATGGATCTTATACCTTTGCCGATGGAAGCAAGTAAGGAAATTGATAATGCAATGCCTTATGTTAAAGTATATATCTATTGCATTTGACCTTCGCTCGTGAAAGAGTGAAGTCATTAAACCTGTGAAATAGATATTAGACTAACACACATTAGTAGACCTTAATTCCAATGTTTTCTTTTGTGTCTATTTGACTATTACACGTTGACTAGTATTTTTTGCCTTCACTCTATCAACTTAATAGTTAATTCGTGTGTCACGCATCAACATGAAGCGTGACACAAATCTCCCATTAGACCCCTTGAATGCTCAATTTGGAGGACAAAACACAAAGGAATATCATTCTTATGAGAATTGGAAACCTATTGATATATCCTCCAAACTAAGCTGCATGCCAACGGGCTGCAAGGGGTCTAGTCTTCAATATGTGTTCGAAGTATTATCCAAATATGTTTTGGTAGATTGTTATTGCTGCGAGCCATCAGGCACTTGCGGTCTTCCCGTGTTACAGATGCTAGCTAACTCAGATCTCGTCGATGTGATAAATTTCGTGTCGGTTTGCGACGAAGATTTTTGGAGCCTTCAGTACTACTGAATGGAACTGTAAAATGTAGTATTCTGATTACGTTGTTCTCTCATGTAGGTAAAGTATTTCCTTGTCAAATTATTAGCTTGTTTATTATTCCTGGTTTCTGACTTCATGAATTCTTGTTTGCAGAAACACAGGGTTCTTTTTCAATGACGAATATATTGGAGATACTCCAGGGAATTTATTTTCCAACGCAAGAAAGGAAAGGGATCCAGCGAGACCACTAATGCAAGAAAATAATCAAACGTTCAGGTAAATGTGCTTATTGCATTGTACTCACTATCTGAATTCTCATTGGTCGAGAACCTACAAATAAATCTAGCTATCAGCATGCGCCAGAGACTTTTCAGCGGTTGATAGTAATCTGTTGGCAGTTATCCGTCTGCAAAAACGAGCCTGCATGTTCGAGCCTTCCTGGTTCAAATAACCGGGACTACTTGTACAAAATCTAAAATTGAGAAAACTTTAGCTAAATCATTATCATATTACTGCGATTCCCAGTCACACGCGACCAACTAGACCTTCATCACAAACGAAAATGTGAGTTTGAGTGGACGTCAATCAAAAGAGTTCCTATTGTTTCTATTGGTTTCTACCACGGTGTTTCTACACCAGGACAGGCGTGAATACTCACGTGAACACGTGAAAGTGTGCAAAAACTATTGCCCTTATCTCATGCTTCTTGTCGCTGTGAATTTCTCGCTCTGGATATATTTTCTCAAAAATGTCACAGGATTCCAGGTCCGAATCTTAAACGCTTGACTGCAAAGCTATTGCTATGACTATGGTTTGAGTTTCTTCAAGATAGGATAAGTCAATACCAATAGCTTTGCAGATAAGCGTTTGAAATTCGGAGTCAGAATTCTTAGACATGTTTAAGGAAACCTTTTGATTGACGTCCACCAAAACTCAAATTTTTTTTAAGATTCTCGTTTACGGCAAACGTGAAATGTCAGTTGACCATTAAAAAGTACTTTTTAGTGAAAAAAATTAGTGAAAAGGAATCGCAAAAATCTCCAAGTAGTAGATAAACAAAAGAATACTTGTCTTTGTCGAGAAGGTTTCCAAAAGGTAAAGTGAAATGTAGGGAAACGATGAATACGTGGTCACGTTTGCCGTTTGCTGGAAGGAAAAACGGGAATCTCAGATATTATTTCGAATCCCAAAATTCCTCGCGCTGTGTTTTCTGATTACAGACTTAGCCTTGTATCAATCTCCTCTTCAACAATATTCAACAATTTGAAACTCAACGGACCTGAAACACGTGAATATTCTGCACAATTTCGAAGCTACCCCTGTATAAATGATTGTGTAATCGAGGGACACAGCGATAATTTGGCACTCGAAAATRGTCTATTCACTCGCTCAGCTACTTTCCTAACCAGATGCTTTCATCCTATTTTCTAAGGATTTGCTGGCTTTTCTCGCTAATCTAAATTACAAGAAATAATTGATATCAGGAACGTAACCACGATTTTACGAGGGGTGGCGGAGGGGGGAGGGGGTGCGAAATTCAAAAATTTGCCATTTATTGATTTAGTTTTGGCCTTTGAAAGGCGGACAAATCCCCCCCCCCCCTAAAACAACAACTTAGCATAGCAAATAAAAATTACCGTATAAATGGAGGGAGGGGGAGTTAAGCCCCCTCGTCACCTGCCTACGCTCTTGAACATTAAAAAATACCTTCACAGTAAATCATATTTCTTCGACATGGTATTATATATATGCTGGTTTCGATCGTTTCCTGGTACTCTCATTATAGGAACATCTTCGTTCCTCCTCAAGAACCAAGCGAAGAGTTACAGAGAAGACGAAGGGAGAGACAAGAAGAGCGTCGTGAAGCTAGCAGACGGCGCGAAGAAATGAGAAGAAAATACAACCTTTAGTTCGAAGAATTAGAAAATGTCATACATGCACAGATGGAATTTTGGTGCATGGCACAATTGACCTTTTTATTTATGAAATACAAAATTCCTTTTACGAATTTTCTTCGTGTTACAGTGCGACTTCTTGAACCCATGGGCCCTTTGAAGTTAACGGTCACATGTCTGTACTGGACTGCAAAATTTTTGTTTTTATATTAAATTGGTGATTCTTTTTAGCTATTTATAAAGAACTGGATGAAACGATGTGTAACCAGTGTGTTACGAAATGCAGTTTTATTACGATCTCTCGAAACAGGTTGTAGAAAGTTTGTTTGCTCACCAGTATATTTCACCCATGGGAATCAAGATGTTCATTCATTTGCTCTCAGTGAATTAATCAGCACGTGATTACTGAGCTGCAAACGGCCTAATGACTCATAGTTAATGGAGCGTTATGGCCCAATAATGGAATCTCGTCTAACTATAGACCTTTCCCGAATTCGCTTGACTGACCGCGAAACAATGGTTTGAAGTCGAGACTGGACTTGATTCTTTTATTCATCAATTTCAACTTCGACTTGAAACCATTGTTTCGTGACCAGTCAAGCGAATTCGGGATAGGTCTATTCGCAGAATATTGTGTTTATGTCCTAGAAGGCTGTAATCCATATTCACTTGACGTTTGGTCCAATATGATTGTTGGTCTATCGATTGGTTTTTAGAAGAAAAAAAACCCCGCATTTTCACGATGCTGCAATTTTTAATGACCATATGATTGGTTCAGGCCGATGCGGTTGAACACTCTGTGTCGAATAAAAGGAAACTTCACTGTGTTACAAATCCATAACCAAGGCCGAGTTTGCTCACCGTATCTGTGATTGTCGATTCCAATGGCTCCATTCGACGCGACGAAAACATATTCTTTCTCGTTTCTGCTGAGTTCAATAATATTTCTGGAATCATTATAATATTTGGCTTTCTTTTTTGTAACTAAGTCTGCATGACAAAACTTTAAAACTGAAAACGCTAGCTCGTTAACATTGAGCAGGTAAATATAAAGAGACTCTGTGTGTGTGTGTGGTTTTTTTTTTTTTTTTTTTGAAGTTTTTTTTTTTAACCTCCTCTCTTCCCACCCCCCTAAAGAAAATTTGTAAGCATTGAGCGCGTGCATAAAAATAAAAAGGGGTGGAGGGGCGGGGGGTTAGAATCAATTGCAGAGGTGTCACGTTTCAAATATATTTAAACTCGAAATTATGAAAGAAATTCGTTTGGATTAACATCACGACATGTATCAGTTTCATATATCGTCTTTTAATAATGATTAGCCAAAATCCATTATGTGCTATACTTAAAGAAAGCAGGTACCCAAAATGAATAATCACGAGATTGGTGTAGCAGCCTCAGAAAATCGTTTACGATCAAAACCTTTGTATTTATAATGTCCAAGTCATCTATTCTATTAGGACGTCTAACATTATCGGCTTATTATTGCAACAACGTGCTAGCAAAAAATACAGTGTCAGAAATAGTACTTAGTTACACGGAACTCTTTTCACGAGCGTCAAGAACCAAAAAAATTGCTTTGTCTAAGCTGAGCATTTGAGACAGGTCTGGACAGCTCTGTGTGGCTGCGGTGAGTGTTTAATAGCTTTTTGAGACTTGTACTGACTGGTTTCACTAGACCTTATTTCCTATGTCTCGTGTTCATCATCTGAATCACAAAGTTTCAATGGGATTTTTCAGGTTGAGAGCGCATGGTGGCCAAWGTCTGACAACCATTTGGAGCAGGTAATAAGACTTTTATCACGTGAAACCTTACAATTCGTTTCTCAAGTGTACTTGAAACAATAGAGCTGACATAGTTGTTTCGATTTTAATTCTTGGACGATAAAGAAAATGAAATTTGTTTACATTTTTGTAATATATAAATTTACGCACTACTTAAAGGCGGTGAGCCCCATCATTTTAGGCACAGGGAGCCCAATTTAGGCTTAAATAAAATCGGTAAAAATATCTTCGATTTTTTTTCAAATCGAGATAATGTCCCCTACATCTGAAATATGAGCTATTGATAGTGTTATGCAGAAATATGACTCATATGAAGCTAAGTTAAGGGAACTCGAGAAAATAAAGTTTTGAAGTCTACCAATAAGAAATAATTGTGAACGCCACACGTCAACGTCTCTAATAAACAAACCCAAATCAAGTTCAACTCTAGACTGTTCAGTCTCGCTTTTTTATGGCTGTCGAGCGAAATATCTTGAAAACGGACTGAGAAAACAAGCTGACAAACCATTCAGCCATGTTTTTGAACTTAATTTTCGATAATTTTAACAAAATTATCGGTCCAGTAAACAATCTTTGCAACCACATACGAGACAAAGCTGCCGACCGTACGTCGTGACTTTCCMGCGCCTGTGAGAGCAAAGACGTCAGAATACTGAAAACTGATTGATTATATTTTTACAGTTGAAAAGTATCGTATTTTTTCGTACATGTTGAAATACGATTTTTTTTCAGTTGTAGAAGTCTTTGTAAACAACTATAGTTTATATAATAAAAGAAATTAAGCCATTTAAAAACAAATGAACATCTAGTACACCGTAGGTAAAATGTGTTTGGGAAAACCATATTTCGGCAAGCCATTACTTGCCTTCTTCAGGGCAATGAAGAAATTACAATGGAATAAGATATATATTGCATAAAGAAAATGGTGAACGATGGACATAAAGAAAATGATGAACGACATAAAGCTGATGAACTTAATAATGATTGACAGATAAACTAAATTATGGACACTGAACTAAGAACAAAAGAAGACAAGATTGGAACAACGTCTGACTCAGAAAAATCTGAGTCCCAGACGGGAATCGAACCCATGAAACTAACCCATCAGACGTTGTTCCAATCTTGTCTTCTTTCATATGTTTTTCTATTCTATTCCTTTAACTAAGAATAAAATAAATAAAGCTAGAACATCAGTTTCAAAAGTAATTAAAACGGGATTAGTAGGGATTAGTAGGGATTAGTAATCAGATGCAGAGTTGTCAGAGCTGGATAGGAAGTGTTCAGAGGCAATAGTAGGTGGAAATTTAGAGTTAGATTTGTCGACAGGTTCTCTACAGCATACACTCTCATAACTTGCTGCTGCTAATTTGCATAAACGTAAAAAAAAACAATGTTGACATAAATTAGACAGAACTTAGAATAAAATAAATAAAACATCTCGTTTAGTGTAAGCTAGATTAGTTATAAAATATCTTCTTTAGCTTTGCCTATGGCATCACGAGAGAAGAAAAACCCCTTTTAAATAGTTGGCGTTTTGATTGAGATAGTTGGTGTGAGTTTATAATGAAAGTAAACCTGCACTTTTCAACATGACTAGGTAGCATTGATTTGTTTGAAACAGTAATGATGAAAAGGTAAATTATACACCGTGAAAAGATGAAAAAACTTATTGACGTTTCGGACGCTAGTCCTTCGTCGGAGTAAAAGAGAAAGAAGTGGTAGAAAAGAGTGTATATATGATCGAATAAGACAAAAGAAACCAATGAGAGCAAGGTAGGCAAGGAAACAAAAACAAACAATCAAAAGACAAAAGAAAAGGTTAGTTGAACGTAAAGCGTTCATTAATCCCGTTGGGACTAAGAGTGCCCAAATAGGTGAATAAGCCGCATTTCTTTGGTCTTGCGACAATCATTGTTGCCGTTAA